GGAGAGGAAGGAGAGGAAGGAAGGAGAGAGGAGATCGACCGGGGGGGGGGAACCAAGGCCGAGGGCCGTAAAGAAAAGATGCTCCCGCCGGGGGCGCGGCCCCCTCGCGCCCCCGGGGCCCCGGCATAAATGCGTGTCCCTCCTCCCCCTCGCCCGCCCTGGCCGCCGGGCAGATGCCGCCGGGGCACAGGGCACGGCCGGGCGCGTCGTGCGCTGTCCCCGCGCCGGCGCCTCCCCCGGGGGCTGGAGCCCGGGCGGCCGGTCGCCCAATCGGGGAAGTCATGCAAACACGCGCCGGCCCGAGGAATGCGCCGGCCCGCGAGGCGGAGTTGGTTGCGGCCCACCGGGGAGATGGCTGGCCGGAGGGGGCGTGCGAAAGTGCGCGCGAAATATCCACGCCCGGGCGCGCCAAGCATTGGCAGCTGGCCGGCGGGCCGCGGCCCAGGGGCCAGACACACACACACATACACATTCACACACACAAGTAGGCAGGCAGGGGACGAGGGTGCATTGTTCGCGAGGCGCACCGGGCGCCGGGGACCCGGGCCCGCGGTACGCGGGCGCATTCAAGGGAGGCGGCCGGGGGCGGATGGCGGCCGCGCGCTCACACCAGGAGGGCCGCGCTGGTGGCCCGTTGCCGGAGGGAAGCCGCCAGGGGCCGCGCATGCGGGTTCGAGTCCCAGGCCAGGTGGAGCAGGTCCGCCAGGGCGGGGGCCAGGGGGGCCGCGGCGGCGGCGGCGGGGCCGGCGTCAGAGGGGCGCTCGCCGGCCGCCACGGCCGCCGTGATGTCCGCGAAGCCCAGGCCTGGGGCGGTGGTCGCGCGTCGCGGGTCAGTCGGAGGGGGGGGGGGACATGGGTCGGGCAGGGAGCGACAGCAGCACCGGGACGCACCTTGCCAGGGGACCGCGCGGGTGAGGCACTCCCACAGCATGACGGCCGCGCTGTAGATGTCCGCCGGGAGGTAGTGGTCCCGGTCGAGCGGGCGCTTCCGCTGGAAGGCGGCCAGCACCTCCGGCGCCGCGTACCGCGCCGTCAGGGCATTCAGCTCCGGCGCCTGGCTCACCAGGGTGGACGACCGGTCGGTGTTGAGGTTGCGCGAGGTGCCCAGGTCCCCGAGGGCCGCCGTCCATGCCCCGTCCGGGCGCTGGCTGACAAACACGTTGCCCGGCTTCAGGTCCCGGTGGGCGATCCCCTGCGCGTGCATGGCCTCCAGGCCGGAGGCCCACTGCTGCACGATGTCCAGCAGGACGTGCGGCGCCAGTGGCACCTCCGAGTGCAGCAGCGTGGCCAGGTCCGTCTGGTAGCGCTCCATCACAATGGCCGGCGGCTGGTCACTGTAGCCGTACAGCCGGACGACGTTGGGCGCGCCGCGCAGCAGCCACATCAGCGCCACCTCGTTCTGGAAGAGGGTCACCTGGGCCGGGGTCATGCGCGCGGCCTTCAGCTGCTTGATGGCCACGGTGCCCGGGCAGCCCAGGCGGTCGGAGATGCCGGCCCCGACGGCGCGCGCCGCGTAGACCGACGCCTGGGTCCCGGCGCCCAGCTGCTCGTCCAGCGGGGCGAAGTCATTCATGATGCTCACCAGGATGCTGCCCGGGAGCGACAGCTCCAGGATGGTGTTCATCACGGTGGCGTCCGCATCATGATGCTCCTGCATGGGGCCGAGCGCGGGTTCGCCCCCCACAGCCGGCAGAAAGGGGGTGTTAGTTGGAGATCCAGGGGGGGGGG